ATATATATATATATACTGTATTATTGAAGTGAGATAATTGAAAGCAGCAGTCATGAATTATCCATTACAACAGTTAGCTCAAATGTCGGTGCTTACCTTCAGCTTGTACTCAAGCTTGATGAGATTGCAATTTAAAATGGAGGGAGGTAGTTCTTTAGGGATGGTCATGACCTTTTTCACAGTTGTCAGGCCAGAGCAGGAATGCACAGCTTCAGCTTTTGCCCTGAGGATCTCACGCGTTTCAATTTTACTCCGATTTAGGCCGAAGAAGCTCCTCTTTTCATACAGCACAAATTTGGGCTGGACTGAGCGTGTTGAGTGGTTATTGACTTTAACAATGACCTTCATGTCCTCACCTGTCCAACAGAGAGATAAGGTCAAATTAAATGATTACACACCGGATCATTATAATTCAATCAACTGCTAGATACAAGACTATGAATTCATAGGTCAGTTCAATGGCTCAGTGGTATTTTCCACAAAGGTGGGATTGTGTTTGGCCGCTTATATTTCATTGGTCAAATGCAGGGATTAAATTGTGTGGGTAAGGTTACATACATGATAACAAAACAGCTCTTATACATCAAAGATACTAATAAAAACTCAGAACATAACAACTCTCTGTTATGCTTTCTGTTTACTCCAATAAACTAAAAGTTGAATCAGTTACCTGTGACTCAAAGGATTTGTTATCTATTGTACTCTACTTCTAAGAGTGTTGAAGACCAAATGGATCTAAGTCCAAATGTTACAGGTGCTAGACTTCCCTCACTGTTTTCCTCTTTACAAATTAGATATTTACCTGGTAAATATCCCTTCTTCATAGTAAAAGCATCCATTGTAACACTTCCAGGACTAAAAGCGATGCTTTTTTCCTTGCGCACATGTTGAGGAACCTAAAAAGACAAATTAAATTTTAAAGAAATACATCAAGTTCATATTTTCCCCCAATCTATTAGAATGTACCATTTTCACATTTTTTTTCTCACCATGAGTCCAGGGATACTTGTGTCTGCTTTGGACACAAAGGTAAAGTGAATTTTAGCTTTTCTTGTCACCATCAATGGCTGTTTAAGCTCTGCTTTCAGCTTATGGATAACTTTGCCAAAGACGGACCAGAAAGATGATGGTATTTTTCTGTGAAGTCAGAAACCAGATTTGGATTAAAGTTTTCAAAATAACCAATTATTACATTAAATGATAGGAGAGAACATACCCTTTGGGTATTTTGAAGCTGAATGGGAACACATGTCGTCCTTTTTCAATGACTTCACTGCCTGGATAAAGAAAATGAACTCCTCAGCATTTTCAGCCAATAAATTAGGCAGCATGAATGATGTGATCCTGGTTTAGCATCATACATTACCATTTTCTTTTGCTTCTTTTAAGATATCCTCTTTGATACTGTAATATTTCTCATCAGAAAACCAAACATCACTTGGATCATGTCTGTAATGTTGAGTCCAACAAGCGCTAGCTTTGCCTTTGGCCTTAAAAACAAGTGACTGGATCCTTGTTTTCTTGTTGACTTCCAGGATGATCCTTCCGTTGATGGTATCTCCATTTGTAAAAGTATTCCTTCTGTTGATGGCGTCATATTCAATTTGAAAGTTTTTGATGGTCATTTTCAGCGGCGTCCCAAGCACAAACCAAGTTAGAGCACGTACTGTCTCGTACTGTCTGAACCCTGCGCACCTGCTCTGGAGGAGCTCTTATTTGGCACAGGCTCGCTAATCTTCAGAAACCAGTTTTGCAGCCTGATGACAAGAAGGCCTGTTTGTTTTCTAGTCAAAGCATTTGGGTTAAAATTCAAACTGCCATGCATAACCAGCATGTTGACATGCCAAACCTCTGAGCAGGCACGTATAACAACATTATTATGATTATGACCCCTGCACACGAAGCGTAAGCGGGAGTCATATTGTTTTCGTACTGGTTTTCTTTTTCAGTGATATTTGGTCAACCGTAGCACAAAAAATGCTACACCGATCAATGTGAAATTTGGCAGGACTGTAGATGAGTCTGACCTACACTGCGCCAGCCAACGGTTTGACCATACACCCCATATTTGAGGAGGGGCTCCTTTCAAAGAGGGGGTGTCTGGACATACAAAAATGCTTATAACTCAGAAACTGTTCAACATAGGAGCTTCAGATTTCTTTTGTTGTTTGGCTCTGATGAAGCTCTATCCATCAGGCCCACCAATCAGTGCCCCCACCCGACCCTGAATATATCTGAAAAAGGGGTGTCTGTACACAAATACTACTTTTAAACCATCCTTTTTCACCTACCCAATCCCATGATGCATTGTGGGTGAAAGCTGTCTGAATCAAAGTGGGAAATAAAGCTGTGACAAGATTTTCAAATTTCTCTTTTTCCTTGACACAAAATTCAGTTTTAGAAGGTTTTAGGCAGAATGTAACCCTGAGGAACTCAAATATATACGTTATTTTCCCACATTTTGCTTAAATACTATTTTTACTCAAAGGTTTTCGGAGTGACCTTGCATTGACTTCCATTAATTTTTTAACACTTTATAGYCTAACTCTGACTATTTCCCTAAAATTAACAGTAGTTACCTGACCCTAAAACTAACCTAAAGCCCCACAAGGCTKCTTTCTTGGTAAAAAATTTCCACAAGTAGTAGGAAAAAACCATCCACACAAATGCACACACCCTCGTGCAGATTTGAACAAGGTGGGACAATTCTATGTTGTTTTAAAAACTGTGCAGTTTTGCCAGACGTAAGATAATTGTCGTATTTGTACGATAATTATGATCCCCGCACGCGAAGTGTAAGCAGGAGTCATATTGTTTTCGTACTGGKTTTTTTCTGTGATTTTTGGTCAACCGTAGCACAAAAATGGCTGCACTGATCAACATAAAATTTGGCAGGACTGTAGATGAGTCTGACCTACTCTGCGCCAGCCAACGGTTTTACGATAGACCCCGTATTTGAGGAGGGGGCTTCATCCAAAGAGGGGGTGTCTGGACAAGCAAAAATGCTCATAACTCAGAAATTGTTCAACATAGGAGCTTCAGATTTATTTTGTTGTTTAGCTCTGATGAAGGGCTATCCATCAGGCCCACTAATCAGTGCCCCCCCCCCCCCAATTTATCTGTAAAAGGACATACAAAAATGGTTATAGCTCAAAAACTATTAAACATAGAAGCTTCAGATTTTCATTGGTTGTTCAGCTCCAATGAAGGGCTATCCATCAGGTCAACCAATGCCCCCACCCCCCCAAAAAAGGACCCCCACCCAAACCACACTACAATTTTGGGATGCACCTAGTAGCATGACATTTATTAGTAATAAAGACTTCTGAGTTCTGGTTCATTTGTGCGTGCGGGGGTCATTATGTTACCRCTATGCGGTATCTAGTTTTGCCCTCTGTATGATGTACGATCAATAATTCACATATTCATATTTACCAAGTTTTCAGACCCCTCTAGAGGCTGTTTTTCTGAAAAGCAACTAGTAAAAATCTAGCGACTCTTTTTCTGGTGTTATTGAGACTTAGAGAGACTCTAACATAAACGCAGCAGCAGGTGCTGCTGAGAGCTCCGTCCTGGTCCCAGAGCACCAACAGGAGACTTCGTCACGCTGCATCCCTCCCTGCTGCAGGCAGATATCCATCATCCAGAACTGAAACAAATCATGTTAGTAAGAAGCTGCTGCTGACTGATCCATGATAGGATGTCAATTAAAACATTTCTATGGCTGAAATAAATCCCTATAAAATAACTTTAAGTGTGTTTTTTACCAGTCCGAAGCCATAATAAAAAGGAGGATTGGAGCTGTGACAGTAAAATAAAAATAATAGCCTAATCTATACATACTAAAAAAGGAGCAACAGAGGAAATTTATTTCTTTTGTTCTCTTGACAAACTACTGTCTCTAAAGAGAAGGCAGGCCACTTTGACACAGTCACCAGTGTTGTTTTTTTTTTTTTTTTACCTTATTAAAACTCTACTTCCTACCAGCTGGTCAAAGAATCAAACGTCCAATTCGACACAAAAAGGATGATTCATATATTGAGTTGAATGAAGAATCTGTCTCTAAAATAGTCATGAAAGAGTTTATTTCTGTAGTTTAAAATATGTTTAACAACTTGCAAATATAGCAGAATGCAAGAAACAGCACCTACTTCATTCAAAATGTTCTGGGGGAGAACCTCCAGACCCCCTTCCCACGTTATGCTTATGATGACAATAGCATCAAAGGTGAGTTTAATTGTAGCACTTTGTGAAACAAATAACTGTAGAATTAGAAAGAAAAAGGTGGGACTGAGAACGTGAGGTAAGCAACATTTAATCATCGGTGTCCTCCAGATGCTACTTTAAAAAAAACTGGAGGCTTGTGGATTAAATTTACACAATATGCACTCAGTTTATTTCTTGACTAATCAAAAGCATAATAAACTACAAAACAAAGACTGGGAAATGGGTGAGATCAGCTGACCTTATCTTTGTGCTGTGCTCGTTTTATTTCACTCCACCTATTTAGGATTAGTAAAACCATTTAAATATGACAAATGCTTTTGCAAAACTAATAGTTAAAATAGTAAAAAAAAAATAAAGTAGCATAACATTTATTAGGAATTAGGGATGCACCGATATGAAAATTTCAGCCAATATCGATATACGATATAATCATTGCTGTTATGGCCGATAACCGATATTTACCGATATTACACACAAACATACAAATTATATTACACATAAACACAAAAACACACTTGGGTCTTTTTTGATAATGTAAATAAATGACCAGACCTCTGACATGGCTCCCTACTTCAGTTATTCCTGGCTRCRCAGCRTCAATATCACTATCACAATCAAACAGATGCTGCTCAACCAACTGTCTCCCCTCCCAAAACAAAAACACAAAGCTAAAAAGTGGGAAATCAATATCTGACATTAATATCGGCCCAGTTTTACATATCGACCGATATGATATTCTAAAAAATGACCAATATCGGCCCATACCGATATCAATACAGACATTTCGTGCATCCCCTATAAGGAATTCTTAGTTCTGGTGCATTAGTGCGTGCGGTGGTCATTATGTTACCATTATCCGGTATCTAGTTTTTAACATCAGTGTAAACAACAAATGGTTTTTCACGGTGACAWGGCAGATTTCAACAAAGGTTTCACACACTTGATTAAAACTGCAAAACTGTTACAAAAGCGAATAGGGCGGAGATCTTGAGTAAAATGATGTTGTTCCTTGAGTAATCCTTTTTTTTCCTTCCAGTGTTTTTTAGACTATTATTGGTTTTGTGAAAATCAAGGTTAGTAAAGTTCTGACATGAATCCTTGTTTGTCTCAAGGAGAAAAACAAAACAAATGGGGAAAAGAAAACAAACACAGCAGAAAATGTGAGTAGGCTACAGAGGAATGTTCATTCAAAACAAGATCTTTATCTTATTCATGAATCAACATTCCTCTGTATCTTTATGCAGGTAGTCCCTTAGGCCAGGCTTTTCCAAATGTTTCAACTTGAAACCAGGCTTATGATTAAATAAATATTATAGGTTTTTTTCAGATATTAAACTCATTTCCAGAAATCACACAGAAGCACGACCAACCTCCACATTTTGCTAAACTATTCAACATAAAAGCATGAGTTTTGTCCACTTTTTTTGTTTTTGACTGAGTGGGAGAGAGTAGAGACAAAACTTTGTGAACACTGAAAAAGGCTCGAGTATGAAATCCTCAGGCTCACTGTTGATTGGTTGGAAAATGCCGCCGTAGCTTGGCCTTTTGTAATTGGCTGGGAGGATCACATTCCATACAAAGTGAGGTATGTGGAGGACTGTTTATCGCCCGCTGCCGAAGGCGAAAGCAGTGCAATTATGTTTTTTTTTTTTTCTGTGTGAGTGTGCTTGTTTTGTCTGCACCATTTTTGAAATGTTTCTTTACTCACTGAATTGTTTTTAGAAAATATTCAGAAAGCAATCAATTCAGTAAACAACTACAACCAATTACTTATATTACTATTACTTATAACAACTACAACCTATTACTGTTTTTGGGTGGCTGTGGTGTAGTGGTAGAGCAGCCGGCTTTGGGACCCGCAAGTCACAGGTTCGATTCCCTGCCATGCCCACATGCCGTTGTGTCCTTGGGCAAGAAACTTCACCTGCCTTGCCTACTGATGGTGGTCAGAGGGTCCGGTGGTGCCTGTGTATGGCAGCCTTGCTTCTGTCAGTGTGCCCCAGGTTAGCTGTGGCTACAGTGTAGTTTGTCATCATCAGTGATGTGAGTGTGAATGTCTATAAGTGTAAAGTGCTTTGAGTGTCCTGGATGATGGAAAGGCTCTGTATAAGTACAGTCCATTTACTTACTTCAAGTGTAAATACATCATGCAAGATGTATGAGTTTGCATTTTTTTACAAATAGTGTTCTTTGTTTAATAAAGGATTCAAATATTTACTGGTATTGTGTGAAAAGTTATCTTTTATATCTTAGCCCTGTGACCAACTGTTTAAGAAATGTCCAACATTTAGCTATGATTTTTTAAAATATACAACATTTGGGGATCCAGGGGGATGAGGTATTAAAATACCAAATCAACTTATTTGAGCTTTAAACCATGTTATAATGTCATTCCTTCTTCAAAAACATATCCGGAGTGTTGCTTTAATTCATACATGTCTGAGAAATCGTTGAGTCTCCTGTGGTAACCTTTTGGAGCTGCCTAAATGCTTGCTGGTACAAAGCACCGCCTATTGACACAAAGCTCCTCCCAGGAGCTCAGTCTGCAGCTGAGCTTCCACCTCCTCGAGCACCCCCCTCCTTTAGTGGAAGTGTTGGAAACAGTAAGAGATTCTTAAAGAGGCAGAGGTCATTTTCAAGGCAAATTAATACAGCGTTTTCCTAACAACTGAAGGTAACATTGTGAGTTGATTGTGGAATATAACTGAACAATGTGCCTGTGAAATATACAATATCCCCTTTAAAACAAGTGCAGAAATAGATGAATGGTGTATTTTAACGTCTGTTTCAGTTTAATCCTATTGTCTTTGTTTTTTCTGTGCTTCTCCTAAGAAACACAAATTCAGTTAAAAATAAGAATATTTTTTAGAATATACATACATATATATATATATAT